AATGAATTTAAATTATATCAAATGGATGTAAAAGTGCATTTTTAAATGGTTTTATAAAGGAATAAGTGTATGTGGAACAACCTCCTGGTTTTGAAGATTTAAATTTCCAAATCATGTTCTTAAATTGACAAAAGCGCTTTATGGTTTAAACAAGCTACTAGAGCTGGTATGAAAGATTGTCAAACTTTTTAATTGAAAAAGGTTTTTCAAAGGGAAGGTTGACACTACATTGTTTTTAAAGCATAAAAGTAAAGATTATTAGTAGTTCAAATTTATGTTAATGATATAATATTTGGTTCTACTAATGATGTTCTTTGCCAATAATTTCTAAGCTAATGAAAAGTGAATTCGAGATGAGCATGATGAGGGAGATCTCATTTTTCTTGGGACTCCAAATCAAGAAAAGAAAAGATGTCATCTTCATCAATCAAGCTAAATACTTCAAGGATATGCTCAAGAAGTTTGGACTGGAAAATGGGAAACCTCATGACACTCAAATGAGCTCATCTACAAAGCTTGACAAAGATGAAGGAGGTAAATGTGTGGATGTTAAATTATATAGGTCAATGATTGGCTCTTTGCTTTATTTAACCGCAAGTAGACCATACATTATGTTTAGTGTTTGCTTATGTGCTAGATTTCAATCATGTCATAAGGAATCACATTTACTAGTTGTTAAGAGAATCTTTAGAAACCTTAAGGACACTCCTAGTTTAGGACTTTGGTATCCTAGAGACTCTAGCTTTAGATTGCATGCCTTCTCTGATGCGGATTATGGAGGATGCAAATTAGATAGGAAAAATACAGCCGGTACTTGCCAATTCCTTGGAAATATGTTGATTTCTTGGTTTTCAAAGAAACAAAATTGTGTTGCATATCTACCACTGAAGCGGAATACATTTCAGCCGGTAGTTGTTGTGCACAAGTTTTATGGATGAAACAACAACTTTTTGATTATGGAATTGAAGTAGGTACCATTCCTATCAAGTGTGACAATACCAGTGCTATTTTTCTCACTAAAAATCCCATCCAACACTCTAGAACTAAGCATATTGAAATTAGACATCACTTTATTAGAGACCATGTGGCTAAGGAAGATGTAGTTCTAGAATTTGTTGATACTTTGCACCAATTAGCGGATATCTTTACAAAACCTTTAGACAAAGAAAGATTTTGGACACTTAGGATAGAATTAGGTTTAACTGGCCTATCTTCACTTAGTGTTTAAATTAATTTTAGCACTTTTAAGAAAAATGCTTATAATAATAATAATTTTGATTGCATTCTTTGCTATTAGTTAGAGGGAGTTTATGATTCTTAGTAAAAATTAATTTTATGTCTAATATAGTTTAAAGATAAAATTGATTGATTGAACATGATTAATTTTCAATATATGAGTTGCCAATACCACTAGAGAAAATTAATTAGCATTCTAAGTGTTTAAAATCAGATTTTCAGCATTTTGGTGTAGGAGGAATAAATACCCCCTTAAAGGGGAACCGATTCCCCCTGGAGGGAATCGATACCCCCATGGGTTCTGGATATTACACGGCCAGAATACCCTATTTTCTCAAACCCTCTCTTCTTCCCTTTGTCACCATTCACTCTCTCCATCTCCATAAATCTCTACTTTGCTTCAAAACAACATTTTCAAGTCAGAATTTCATCATATTTCATCTCCTAAACCTGCTAGAATCATTAAAATCGTGCAAACTTCATCCAATCTCACTCAAATCCGAAAATCTCAAGGTATTTTTCTAAAACTTCTATTTTATCAAATTTTGATTTTAGGACTAGTTTTAATTAGTTCTAGGTTGAACTATATATCGGGCATTGATTATTTGATGTTTCTAAACTAAAGTTTATAACTAATTTCATCAAAATCTCACAATTTTTCAATTGATTTTTGAATTTTCAAAATAAAAAAAAAAAAATCTTTAATTAATTTCAAAATTTTTGTTTTTGATTTAATTATGTTGTTACTATGAAAACTATACGAATATTAATTTTCAAAACTTTTCCCATTAGGATTCGGTTTAGAGAACCTTGAAATATTGCGAACTCAATTGAGTTTTGGGATTGATATTTGTTGCATACATGTGTTTTTTTTTAAATTGCAGGTTACTTTTTCCATTTCGATTATCTTACGTCATGTCTCACAAACGTTCTAGACCTTCCTCTAGTCGATCTAGCCAACCACCAAACCAACCTCAAAATCCACCTCCTATCCAACAAATTCCTAATCCCAACCCTGATGATCCTAATATGACCATTCTTAAATCGTTCTTCAATGAACCAGGTCATAGACAAAATCTACTCTTTCGGTATTCTCAATACTTTGAGTCTTACAAAATCCGGGAAGAACGAATCACATATCTTCAAGCCATGCTAGACATAAATTTTTGATATCTTCCTACCCTTAGAGAATGGAAATTTGATAAACTTTGTGATCTTGAACCAATAGTTTATCACCAACTTGTTCGTATCTTCTACTCTAATGCCGTTTGCGTCCAAAATTGGGATAAAACCGCAACCATAGGAATTCGATCCTATCTTCTAGGACTATTCTTTTATATTGACCTGGAATACATAGCCACCACATTAGGATTAGATAACGACAGCTTAGAAAATGAAAAACAAACGGTAGGTTCTCAGTATAAACGAAGGGATAGTGCGAGTGTCTTAGATCTTCATGATCATTTCCTTCATTTAATAATCTCTTGGTGGTTTTGACCATCCGGAGGCCGTTACTCCACTCTTCGAGCCTTGGATCTATTTTGGCTACATTGTGTCCAAAATAATCTTAAAATCAACCTACCTCAGATTATCTTTGCTGAAATTGTCAAAACCGTAAATCTTGTCCCAAATAAGAAACTCTGTTCTTCTCTAGTTTACGGTTGTATTCTGAGTAATATGTTTTCAAAAGCCGAGCTTAGGGTTAGTCTTGATGCCACTTTTCCACTCAAAAACCAAATCAATCTCTTTTCTTTAACTAAATCGGGATGGAAGATCAATGAAGAGACTGGTCTATGGGTTCGTACCGGTGTGCAACCTCCAGAAGTTGACGAAGCCGACGATGAGCCAGAGCATAACGAGGAACAAGAACAACAAGAAGATCAAGTTTCTCCATACTTCAGATCATTTATGGAGAATCTTGATATGAGGTTTGCATCCATCGAATCTCATCTGACTGGTACCAACGAAACGATGAACCATCGTTTGACACTTTGGACGAGAGGGTCGATGCACTTTCACGTGATGTGGCCAACATTTGGACACACTTATCTCCTCCTGATCCACCGATGGACGATTAGGCTCTGTTTTCTTGTTTAGCTTTGACCTTATTGTTTTCAACATTTTGAATGCTTTTGGATTGTTTTTACTTTGGTTATTGGATGTTTGAATTTATTTGATATTGGTTTTGGATGATTTGAACTTATATATATATATGGGTTTGCTTAATTTTGTGCATCATTTACATCATGTTAGATATATGACCAATTTCACCATTTCACATTTGTTTATGAATATGGATTATGAAACTAATGGCTAATGTCTTCTCTTTATTGTGATCTTAGCAGCTTAGAGCTTTAAATTTCTAAATCAATTGGCTAATGTTTTTCAAAACCTTGTTTAAAAAAGTTATAGTCTTTTTGATTTAACAAAAAGGGGGAGAAGTGAAATAATAAGGGGGAATAATTTCAAAACCGATTTCAACAATTTATTTTCAATTAGAAAATCTTAAAATTACTAAAATGTTTTGTTATATCAAAAGGGGGAGATTGTAGAAAACATTTTGATATTTGATATAATAAATTAAGTTAAATGAATTTTAAGATTTTACAAAATATTTTCTAAGTATATTCGATATAATTATTCGAACATCAAAAATTACTCAAAGTCTTTCAATGTTCATTTTAATCCTCACTAAAGTGTAAAAATATGTTAAACAAATACACAAAGTATTTCGAGCCTTAATCGAGTCAAAAATCATTTTTTAATTAAAATCAAACCAAAATGGGCAGATTGCCCAGAGGGAACCGATTCCTCCCCAAGGGGGTACCGATTCCCCCTGAATGGTTTGGCTCTGAGAAATAACAGAATGCTCGGAGGGAACCGATTGCCCCTATTCAACGGTCAAAATATTTGAATTTTACACTAAGGGAATCGATTCCCTATGAGGGGTACCGATTCCCCCTACGCTCCAAGCAGTTTTATTAATTGTTTTCACACTTAAACGACTCCATTGACTCCACTAATCATCCCCAACGTTCAGAATCAATTGAAGGAGTATTTAAACAAGCTTAGAAGCCATTAATCAATAACAAGAATCAATAATCAAGAGAGAATCAAAGAGAAAGCATCAAACCTCAAGTTTGAGCATTTTCAAGCTTATTTCATTCAATATTCATTTTTACTTTAAAGAACACTTATTGTGCTCAATTGTATTATTCTTGAGTGTTCTTTTTTTGTTCTAGAATTGTGTAAACACATTTGACTTGTGAGGTTTTTCATTAAGTTTGCGAATTTGTAATATTCTCTTTGAGAAAGAGTGTTCTCAAGAATTGGGGTATATTCTTGAGGGAGTTGTAAGGTTATCTCTTTGTCCTCAAAAGAAAGAAAAAATTAGTGATTTTGTTGGAAAATCCTTAGTGTGGATAGCTAAGGTAGTGGACGTAGACTTTGGTTGAGAAAGTCGAACCACTCTAAATCACTGTGCAAATTACTTTCAATTTTCTGCAAAAGCTTCCACCAAATTTTTTAATTACCAATTCACCCCCTGTTGGCCGATTTCATTGATCGATTAACTCAACAGACTCCAACAAAAATCTGCAAAATTATGCATATATGTGATGCTATGGATGCAATGTTCTTATGTATGCCTAAAATCCACATGCAATATATGTTATTTTAGAATTTAGAGAGAAATATCAATCTCTTACTGTCAATCATGATTCTTGCCAATCTTGAATGTCTGATTCTTGATTTTGGATCCTCTGATCTTCATCAGGTTTTGATATGATATATCCTCTGGGAACTTGCAAAAAGAAGCTTATTTCTAATCTTGATTTAATCAATTCCTTTTTTTCTCAATGAATTAGCATTCAAGTCATTCTTTCGAGTATGGTGCAAGAACCTTTGTTAGCTTCCAAACACTTGTATTTTAGGAAATCTTTGTGCAGTAATACGCAATGATCTTTTCCAAAAGTGAATAAATTATTCTTATTTAAACTCAATGGAAGATGCTTAAAAAGAATTAATTTTCATTTTGAGAAGTGACCATATTATTTATAAGGATGAAAAAGAATACACGACAAACATTATGAAGAGTCAAGGTATACAAAGCACAAGTAAATGTCTAAGATCTTGATAATGCGGACAGTTTTGAACTGGTGCACCATTAAGTGACTTTTGAGTATAGCTTTTTTCAAGGGACTTTGAAGATGTGACAATGTTTGAAAGAGCGCATAGTTCCTCCTAAATTACTAAATTTCCTGAAGACTTAGATGCCGTGATGTTTTATTTCCTTGATCTGGGACCTTCATGCATAAATCCTGGATCGTTACCCAAGCTGCCCTTTCGGGTTTTCAACTTGGATCTTCCCTTGGTTTCAAGACGTCCTTTGTGGTTTCATTTTGAACCCACCTTATTTTTGTTCTTGTTTTTACTTTTCAATTTAGAGCACCCTTTCGAGTTTTCACTTTAGGTGAAATATTTCTTGACTACATCAGAGTTTACATGATTAGGTAGTTCTGACCCGTCAATTTTAGTTAACATTAGTTCTCCTCCAGAGAAGGTTTTTTTCATGACATAAGGCCCTTCCATATTTGGCATCCACTTTCCTCTGAAGTCCTTTTGGATTGTCCAGATCTTTTTCAAAACAAGATCTCCTTCATGGAATACTCTTGGACGCATCTTCTTGTTGTGTGCTCAGATCATTCGTTTTTGGTAGAGTCGACCATGGTGAATGATTTTCAGCCTCTTCTCTTCTATTAGGTTAAGTTGATCATATCGAGTTTGCACCCATTTTGTATCATCCAATTTAACTTTTGACAAAACTCGGAGTAATGGGATCTCCACCTTAATAGGCAATACTGCCTTTATTCTATATGCTAATGAAAATGGGGTTTCCCCAGTCGAAGTTCGTACTGAAGTTTTGTAAGCAAACAAGGCAAAAGGTAACTTCTCGTGCCAATCTTTGTATATCATCCGCTTTCTCCACTATTTTATTGATATTCTTATTTAATTTGTAACTTATATCGCTCCATTCATCTTTGGTCGATAACTAGTAGAGTTGTGATGTTTTATGTTAAATTGTTCACAAGTAACATCCATCATCTTGTTGTTCAAGTTTGTTGCATTATCATTAATGATTCTTTCTGGTAAACTATATCGACATATGATCTCCTTTTTCAAGAACTTGCAAATAGTGTACTGAGTGACACTGGCATATGATGTATCTTCCATCCATTTGGTAAAATAGTCAATTTCCACAAGAATGAATTGATGACCGTTTAAAGCTTTTGGATAGATTTGTCCAATGACATCTATGCCCCACATTGAAAAGGGCCATGGTTTTGTCATTACATGAAGAGGGCGAGGTAGAACACTTATGACATCTTCTAGCCGAGTTGATGTATTCACTCTTCAATGTGGATCAGAAGAATCCGCATCTCATAACTTGTCCTGTCATCATATGTCCGTTTGTATGGGTTCCACAAACTTTGTCATGTATTTCTTTCAATATCATTCTTACTTCTTTTGCATCTACACATCTTAACAAGACATGATCATGTCTTTTCTTGTATAAGGCTTCTCAATCAAGAACACATCCGACCGCCATCATTTTGATTGTTCTTTTTTTCAATTTCGGTGGCTTCTTCTGGATAGCTTTGATTCTTAATGTATTGCAGAATGTCGTGGTACCAAGGTTTGGTGTCTTTTATCTCTTTGATTAGGTAATAATGAGCCGAGTACTCATATGACTGCATGTCAATTGGCATCATATCAGATTCTCCACTAGCTTTGAATGCTGATGCCAAGGTAGCTAAAGAGTCGGCCATTTGGTTTTCTTCTCTAGGCACATAGTGGAAAGTGACTTCGTCAAACTTTTCGAGTAGATCCAATATGAGGTTTATGTATTCCATTAGCTTGACATCTTTTATCTCCCACTCTCATCGGATTTGATAGATCACTAAGGTAGAATCTCCATATACTCGTAAAGTCTTTATATTCTGTCCAATAGCAGCTCGAATCCCTAAAACACAAGCTTTATACTCCACCATGTTGTTAGTGCAATCAAAGTTCAATATGCTAGTGAACGAGTAATGATTTCCTTTGGGTGAAACCAAAATAGCTCCAATGTCGTGTCCTAACACATTTGATGCACCATCGAAATACATTTTCCAAGAATCACATGTGGAAGTACTTGCTTCTTCTAGAGATATGGCCACCAAGTTTTCATCTGGGAAATCAAAGTCCAGTGGCTCGTAATTTTTAGAAGTTCTGCTTGCTAATAAGTCAGATATGACACTTCCCTTTATAGCCTTTTGGCTCACGTATTCAATGTCAAATTTTGATAATAGCATCTGCCATTGGGATAACTTTCCAGAGAGAAGACACACCCATCATGTATTTTAGCAGATCTAACCTGAAAATCAACCAAGTGGTGTGGTACAATATATATTATCTGAGCCTTCGTGTAGCCCAAACTAAGGCACAACAAACTTTTTCAATAGGTGGATATCTAAGCTCACAATCAGTGAACTTCTTGCTTAGGTAGTAAATGGCTCTTTCTTTTATTCTAGACTCATCATGTTGGCCCAAGACACATCCCATCGAATTCTGAAAGATGGATAAATAAAGAAATATATGGTTTGCTCGTAATAGGAGACATTAAGACAAGAGTGCGAGACAAATACTTTTTTATTTTTCTCGAATTCAGTCTGGAAGTCCTCATCCCATGCTCTAGAATATTTCATTCGAAGAAGATGGAAAATTGGATCACATTTTTCCGTTAACTGAGATATGAACCGAGCGATGTAGTTTAGTCTACCCAGAAAACCATAAACTTCTTTATGTTTTCGTGAGAAAGGTAAGTTCTGTATGGCCTTGACTTTGTCTAGATCGACCTCAATACCTTTCTTGCTAACAATGAAGCCTAATAGCTTTCCAAATGTTACTCCGAAGGTACACTTGTTAGGATTCAGTCTCAACTGGAACTTTCAAAATCTTTGAAGAGTTTTCTCAGATTCTCGACAAGTTCATCTTCAGTTTGTGCCTTGACAATCATGTCATTGACATAAAATTCAATCTCCTTATGCATCATGTCATTGAATAAGGTCACCATAGCTCTTTGGTATATTACCCCAAAATTCTTTAATCCGAAGGGCATCACCTTGTAACAAAATATTCCCCACATTGTGATGAACGTGGTTTTCTTCATGTCACCTAGATGTATTTTAATCTGGTTGTATCTTGAGAACCTGTCTATGAATGAGAAGAAACCATTTCCCACCGTGTTATTCACCAGAGTATCTATATGCGGCAAGGGGAAGTTATCTATAGGACTTGCCTTATTGAGGTCTCGGTAGTCGATGCACATGCGCACGTTTCCATCATTTTTTGGCACCGACACTATATTCGCCACCCATTCTTGATACTTCGCCACTTGAAGAAAGCCAACATCAAATTTTTTCTTGACTTCTTCTTTTATTTTAAGGAGCACTTCAAGTCTCATCCGCATTAGCTTTTGTTGTACGAGTTTGCAATCTGGCTTGATGGGAAGTTTGTGGACTACCATATCCGTGACTAGCCCAGGAATGTCTTGATACAACCATTCAAACACATCTTTTTACTCCTAAAGCAAGTCTATCAAGCTTTTCCTTGGTTTCGATTAAAGTGTCATCCCAAATTTAACTTTTTTCTTTTCATCTTCTGTGCCCAAATTCAAAACCTCAATTTTCTCCTCATGTGGCAATATTTGTTTGTCTTCTTTTTCCACCATTCTTAATATTTCGGAAGGTAAGTTACACTCTTCTTCATTGTCATATTCATCAATTTCCCCAAGATAATTGATATGTTCAAAAACCCTTTACGGCTCAGAATCATCATTGTCCGTATCATTAATATCTGAGGAGCTGAAAGGGAAATGAGAAGAGAAATGTGTATATGCGAGAGGAAAATATCCCACATAGAATGAAGAAAACTTAAATACAAAGGAAATGAAATGAAGAAGGAAAAATGTTTGCCAGAAAATAAAATACATCTTTTATTGAAATATGAATAAAAATAATTTATTAACCCTTACAAAAGATCACCTATTGCCCCAGGTATAGGAAAATAGGGAAAGTTTGAGTATTACTCTGAAAGAGATGTGAAAATCATAGGTAGTTCTTCACCAGTCCAGTTGTTAAGCACAAACCCATGCGGTAGTGGATGGGTCCTAGTCGTATCACCATTTTCAATGTCATCCGTTGTTATAGCATTGATTTTCAAGTCTTTCAGAGCTTCTATATCAGGTAAGGCCATCATTGATTTTTCCTCAGAAGCATAGCCACCAAACTTGAATGTGTTGTGAAGAGGAGGAAAAGACATCGGCTCCCTTTAATTTCTTCTCCAGTCAATCTTGACCTTCTTCTCTCTTGGCATTTTTGAATCTCTTTTTCCCTTTGTTGATGACTGGACTTAAATCTGAGCCTGAACTGATCTAGCTTGACAATAAGAAAAGATGGATCTGACTCATCCTTGTAAATAACTACCAAAACCTCTTTATATCTTCGCGCCTCTTCCCAAAGTTTGTTTGATTTCCATATTGGTTCATTCCGAGAGTCTGAGTTTGGAAATCTTTCCCCCTTCAGCCACAAATATGGCATTAACAAATTCTAAAGAGTGGAACGATCACTCTAAAGCTTTCTCATTTATATCTATGTAACTGGTGCCAGTGGTCACACTCACCACTATATCCTCTTTAGCATTAATGATTATCAGAGTTTCGTCGATGACAAACTTGACTTTCTGGTGCAGTGTTGATTGTACTGCCCCGGATTGATGGATTCACGGCCTTCCAAGAAGGCAATTGTAATAAGGCATAATGTCCATCACCATGAACTCTATATTATAAGTGGCAGGCCCGATGGTCAATGGTACCTGAATTTTGTCGAGCACTTTTCTCTTTGTCCCATCGAATGCTCGAACCACACTCTGGCATGTTCTCATGTGGGAAGTATCCATTGGTAGCCTTTTTAGAGTAACCAAAGGCATCACATTAAGGGTAGAGCCATTGTCAATTAACTCACTTGGCAAAACATGCCCCTTGCAATGAGTGGTAATGTGTAATGCTTTAGCTTGACCCCTTACTCCGGATGAAATCTCATCATCAGAAATTGAGATGATATTATCAACTTGGATGTTATTAACCATTCGATCCATCTTGTTGACTGGTATGTCTTTGGCACAAATGTCTTATGTAAGACCTTTAGAAGTGCTTCTCTGTGTGCCTCTAAACTTAGGAGTAGTGCCAACATTGAAATATATGCTGACAGGCTATATAAATTGTTCCATGATGATGTATTCACTATGTTTTAGAAATTTCAAAAACTCCGTAACCTCTTATTCCTTTATCGACTCATTTACTGCTAGCACATCCCCTTTGAATGGTTCAAGTGGTCTTTGCGGGAAGTTAGGCTTTTGAGAGTAGTATTTCCCAACAGTATGCCCCACTTCGTTTACATCTTCCTTCAAAGTGCTTACTTGACATTCATACTTCCAAGGCACTTGTTTGTTGTCCTTGTAAGGAAAAAGTCTTGGTGCCACTATCACTACTTTTGCTGGTACTTTATCTGTTGTTTTTGTTTTAGGGGTGATTACCAAAGGATGACCCATGTTATATCCTCTTTCAGATGAATCTCCAGTCACACAAATATCATCTTTTGAAGTGTCCTAGACCTCATCGTAGAATTCTAGCTCCTTCCTATCCATCATGAGCTGGATCAAAGCTTTAAACTTCAAACAATCTTGCACATCATGCCTTCTTCATTGTGGTAACATCAATTTTTACCATCTTCACATTCCGGTGCGTCAGAATGTGGTGTAAGAAATCCTATCTTACCATCTGCCTTCATACCCATGTTAGTGGAGATGTTATTTAAGAAAAACTTGTTTTGACCATCATGCTTCTTTCCTTAAAAATTGCATTAACTCCACTTTCTTGGTGGTTAAGTAAAGGGTTCTGTGCAAAGTTTGGTGGTGAGTCTGAATTATTGAAATGAATCTAGTTTCTGTTTCACATCCATTGACGATTCTTTTGAATGTGAGGCAGTTCTCGATGGCATGCCCCAGAACTCCACCATGATATTCACAATGTGCATTTCTATCATACCACTTGGGGTATGAGGGCTTTAAAGGTTCTACTGGATAAGGTGACACTACGAGCATGTCAAAGAGTTGTTGATAGAGTTCCTTATAAGTCATGGGAATATGATTGAAATGTTCACTCTCTATTTCTTTCCTTGGTTCCCTTGAGTCTTGTTTAGAAGTACCTGATAGTACAACTACGATTGATTTTGAGTTGGAGACCGTAACACCTTTACTATTGTTGAAAGCATTGATGTTAATTGATCTCTTATTCTCTCTTCCTTATAGGAGTTGTTTTTCTAGACTTATCTCCTTCATTTTTTCATTTCTTAATGATTGTTTCCATCATCTCCCCGACCATAATCAAATTGGAGAAGTTTCCGGACATAATTGCAACCAAATGCACGAAGTAAGGCGTCTTCAAGATATGTACGAAGAGTTTCCTTGTCTCTTTTTCATCCAAAGGCGGATGAACCTGTACAGCTAAATCCCTCCATCACTGTGTATACTATCAAAAACTTTCGGTATGCTTTTTTTTCATGCTTTATAGCATAACACGGTCTGACCTCATATAGTTTACATGCTTTTACTGTTCCAAGAATGATTTGGCAAGATCTTTCCATGTTCGAATGTGTGAACTGTTCAGCTGATTGTACCACCTGATAGCTGAACCGGTCAAACTCTCATGGAAGAAGTGAATCATGAGTTGGTCATTCCCTACGTATCCTGTTATCTTTCGACGAAACATGGTAATGTGAGCTAAAAGGAAATTGTTCCCATCAATTTTTTTGAAGTCTAGGGCTTTAAATTTTGGAGCAATAATCAGATCTGGGACTAGGCTTAATTCCAAAGCATCAAATCCATAATAGTCGTTGTCCCCTTTAATCATCTTCATATAGTCCTCTAACTGCTTGATCTTTTCCTCCATTTTCTTTGCCTTGTCTTCTTCATTAAAAATCCAGTATATGGTAGTCATCCGTATTGTTTTGAGGATTGGATACAGATGCCTACATTTTTACAGCGGATGAGTTAATAAGAAATTTGAAAAAATAATAGTATGTCATTACTGATACCAGTAAGTAATATTCGATGATTGATGTCAAGCTTAGCTCCTTACTCCACTCGCTCCTTTTATCTACGTGTGAAAATCATTATACGCTACGTATACACTTAATGAGGCATAAGAAGAGTATGTAAAACATTTTAAAGCATAAGTAAGCCATAAAAGATCAAAATACAAATTAAATCGTATAATATATATATAAACGCATAAAACCGACTTGATAAGCTAAATTTATGTCACATAACCTGTGAAACATTATTTCATATGCATAGTACACTTATAAATCAGTCTATTCAAAAATATCCATTCACAACCCAATGTATGACATATGAGAATGCAATGTACATAAATTGCACATAAGTGCTAAAAGAAAGTATAGGTACTGTAGTAATAGAGACACTATACTAATATATAGAAATGGTAATTCACAAACTCATTATGAACACCATCAATGAACACATAGTGCCGAAAGAACGAAAATGTACTAATACAAAAATATAACAAATGTATTAAACAAAATTGATCGATAACCACCTTATTCAAGGTATTAACAAGTGTTCATTATGAACGCCATCATTGCACACATAGTTCCATACTCCAAGTACACAAAGTTCTGATACGAAAATGCAATAATTCATTAAACAAAATCGATTGATAACCATCATACTCAAATTATGTCGAAATGCCCCTATGACTCTCAATGTACATACAATAGGTTGTTATATCCCAAAATGCAAATTAAACATTTATTCTGAAACACCAATAGATGTTAAATAGAGTAAAATACATCCAATTGTTTTAGGGCTTAATACCTTAAAATCATTAAATAAAATCATTTTCATAAACTTTGTGAAAATACTTCAGAATGCGTTAAAAACATGCTTAGTAAAAAAACTCGAGGTTGACTCATCGCAAGTTGTCCTCATACCATATAAGTACATAGTAAATACACTCACTTTAACACTATTTATACAAGTCAAAATATAAGCCTCACTAACATTTAATCTTGATCTACTTCTTTAAATTCATTTCTATTAAGAAGTTCATCATAATTTTGTATTCTTGGAGTTTGCACTACCTTTAAAGAAATATTATTCTATATTAATCTACTCACTCAAAAATTATTCCGTTTATACCAGTGGAAACTAGACACGGATAAGAATCGAACCATATAAGGCAATTCCTCTAGTTCAATTTTTACAATTTATAGTGAATTTTTAAAGTTAACTTACATAAGTTATTTTGAGTAGAATCTGCTGCCCTATTTTCTGACTTATCATCGATTAAAAATTCATATCTTTTTGTATACTTCTCTAATTCAACTTTCGTTTTTTTCTAAACAATACTAGATTTGTATAAGAATCCAATGGTATAACAAATCTAGGAAAATTTCATCAATTTGCATTTTCAGCTTATTCACTAATTCTATTAGCTCACCACAAATCAAATAGCAATTAGGAGTCACTTCTTACCATAGTAACTCTGTCACTGGATCATTGCAAGCCAATGTTCGTTTGATAAAATAAGTACAAATTAAATTTTCACCCACGTGGTGTCCTTAGCTTGTAAAACTTCCTTACAAATTCACATTTCATCCTTAAGCTTCTCCTTAGCTTTAATAATATTTGATCTTGATTTCAAGCATACAATCTAAATGAACATCATTATAAAACATATACATTTCAAACCACATGTTAGAATCTCACTAACATAGGCCCACAATGGAAAATTAATTCCTAAAAACATT